GGAGTAATCCAACAGTATTTAATCTGGGATTATACACATTATCCCAACGTGAACTTTTCCCAAAAAGCACTCACACAGTTGGCCGCTGACAGCAGCCGGACTAATTAACTCAAATCAAACACTAACTCAACATCATTAACACACACACACACACACAGACACACACACACACACACTCGCGCCTCAGTCTGCCTGCAGTCGGTCCCGCCCACACCGCCGTGGCATTTTCAATTGTGACCTTTAACACGGAAAAGTATCGGAATCTGAAGACAAGACGTCAGAATGTCAACGCTAACAACGACATCCATCACCATCTGCAGCCAATCAAAACCCTTTACACTACAGTTCAGGATCCACCTGCTGGTAGACATTCAAACTGCAGTCTTGGTTTGAAGGTACTGTACGGGAAGAAACAGGAAAAGTTCTAAGTGAGAATTAAAAATGACATTTTCATCAACGTAGCATGTCTTCAAAAAAGTGTCCCGACAACACACTCACACACACACACACACCTGCAGTCATGTGACCGCCCCGGTCTGTTTGAATCATCAAAATGTGTGAAATCACACCGTCGACGGAGACATACGTAGATCTAGACATAATAGATTCAGACTGATCTCACAGAGTCGCGCACGTGTGAAAATGGCCGACGTGTTCATACGCAGACGAGGAACTAATCTGGGTTTAATTTCTGCTTCAAAAAAAAAAAAACGGTCCCTTGTTCACTTTGATAAAAAGAGGCGAGGAAGTTTCAGAGGTGAGGAAGAGCGAGCGCGACTAAGTCTCCAGTGGGGGGCCTCGCATTTACAAATGTGGTAAACCACAGACTCTTTCAGTTCAACGTGTTCAGCTCGATAGTACTGCACAGATAAAACTACACCAGCGCTGACTCAGATCCAGACCGGGGGGGAGTTTGAAGCGCTCAGATCTGGCCTCAGACGTAAGGGTTGTCCTGTCACCGAGCAAATGCTGAGTAATGTCCGAGAGGCGGGCGGGCGTCGAGGGAAGTCCTTGTAAATCATCTGTACGCCGACGACTGTAAACTCTTCAAACCCGTGACCGTTTGTCCCTCCTGCGTACGAGCCGCGAGCCCCCGCGCCGACGTACCTGTCTGTCGGTAGCGTATGGAACTGATGAAGCCGTTGTGGGTGAGATGGATGGTCTTGACGGTGCCAGAGGCCTCGTCATAAGTGAAGGTCACCAGGGTGGAGTCGTAAACCACCTCGGCGAGCCGCGCCGCCGGTGTGTACCTGTGAAAACAGGAGAGTTTGTCAAAAAGATGGAAACGCTGAGAAAAGCAGAGATGTTTCCTCAGACTGAAGACAAACTAAATCTAAATCGTCGGTGGTTTCTGAAACACGTTTGTTACAGAGATTGAAGATTGAAGATAAGATAAGACTGAACTCTCCCTCATGACTGCGGTTCAGAGAGTCAGAAATTTCAGATGTCAAGATGTCAAAGACAGATCAGCACAAAGAAAAGCAGTTAGTAAAAAAAAAAAAAACACATTACAAAAATGTACCCCTCCCCTTCGTGCCCACTTCATTTTCTTCCTGTGTTTAATGTATGGTATTAACAGGCGTCTGCAGTGTGTCCAATCATCGGTTCACACCCCCATAAATGTGTCCAGATTTAGCCTGAAAATTCCACCATGTTTGATTGCCCCTGACTGAGGGAGGTTTTGGTCTGTTGCCCCCCACCACCACAAACTATTTCTGTGCCAGTTAGCCATGCCCTCTCCCTCCCCCTAGATTTTGCTACTGGGAATCATGGGTAAAATCGGGCCAAAAGAACCTCCAGTGGTAGCGTTTCTTTCCCCTCCGCTCTGGTCAGAACGACCCAGTTTACGACCCGATGTTGAATTATCCTTTAGTATTTCATCAAAGCGCGACCATCTGCTGCCGTCTTTACGGCCGCTTCACCGCGGAGCGTTTATCGCGGCGGCCCGGTCAGGCCGCGCTGGCTGTGTTGGAAATGTTAACTGCCAGACCGATGTGGGCACGGGCGCCGCGGCTTTCGTCCCAATCACATTAGTGGTGTTTGACATGGTTCTGTGATAAAAACCTGACCTTTCATCTGTGTTCCTTCATTATTCCAATCAGGGCAATTTGTGTGGACAGCTGGGCGTGCCGCGCAACATCACAGGACGGGGCGGATCTGTTCTCACACTCCTCAGATTAGCTGCTAATTACAGCGCCGTCGTTAACACCAAACACTGTTGTCGGCTACGTCTACGTCAGGGCGGAGGGGTCAAACTCATTTCCAACAGGGGGCGGAGGGGGTTCCCCTTGAAGGGCCGGTTGTAAATGGAAGCTTTATCTAGATCAGGGGTCCCCAACCCCCGGTCCGCGGACCAGTACCAGTCCACAGGTCATTTGGTACTGGGCCACAATAAAAAAAATGTACCTAATTTTTGTATCCATTTACTTCCGTTATTTTAAAGATAATCTGGTGATATTTTAAAATAACAGGTCATTCAGGCTCTTGTCTAAAAGACGTTTTTATTTTGAAAATGTACTGATCCTTCGATGCTCAGCACCTTGGTACCGGTCTGCAGTAACGGCTGGTACTGGTCGACCAGTCCTTGGAACAACAGACGTAACACAGATGTAACTACTCCGTAACAGACCAACACATGTTTCTGCCACTGATTCTCATCTGATTGATTAGAATTACGGTCTACGTCCTCGTTCAGTTCCGTACCTGTAGATGACGCTGCGCCCCGTCCCCAGATACTGGACCCTCATCAGCCGCCCGTCCAGGCTGTAGTCCTGCATGAAGGACGCCTGGCTGTCGGGGGGCGTGTAGATGTTCCTGTAGTAACCGATGGACAGCAGAGACTGCAGGGTGTGTTTGACCATGCTGGGCATCGTCACCGAGACCAGGCGGTCGGTTTGGTCGTAGTCGAAGACGTAGCGTCGCTGGCTGTGCAGCAGCAGCATAATGGACTGAAAGGACAGAGACAGACTCCGAGTTAGACAACTCTGTGGGTGGATGTGGGAGATTTATTTATTTTCACCTCTCTGTCTGGTGAAATCTTGTGCTTCAATGTCATTCGATATAAAAAAAAACATCTCTTCGTCTTTCAAACAGGTAAGCAGAAGAGGCAACCTTGGTTTGAGCCACGTCTTTGTGCTGTTTTTATTTGCCTTTCAGACAAAGTTTCAACCGTGCGTCTGCGGAGCTGTAGCTACAGAAACCCTCTGAACTGTGGAGTTAAACAAGGTCGGAGAAAGTCTTTATATTAAACTGTAAAGAAGGAAATTGTTTGTGAACAACAGACGCCGCCGTCACTCAGCCCCGGACGCCGACTGTCGATCTGAGTTCACGCTCCTGATGAAAACATTTCATGAGTTTTTCGCGGCATTGTTTCATTAATTCAAGCTGGTGTTAGTTTGGTTACTAAAGTAAATGAGATCAAATGGACGCTTTAGGCTAAGAGTTTATCCAAAAAAAATAAAATAATATAAAATATGGCTGATATTTCTTTATCAGTTATTGATTTTTTTGCGATATTTCTTTATCAGTTATTGATTTTTTTATCACCAACTCCCAGTCCAATATTCCTGGTGTTGGTTCATGTTCTTGTTCTTTTCTTTCTTCTCTAGTGATTCCAAATGTAGATCCCTCTGTTCCAGTGTTAGGAACTGATGTTCAGATGGAACAGAGTCTGAGACTAGGATCACACTGGGACTACAGCTACACTGGGGGGGGAAAAACACCACAATATATCACAATATATCGTATCGTTCCTGTATCGTGATATGTATCGTATCAACAGATTGAACTCTTTATTTGTCCACACGTTGGGACAGTGGTCGTTAGTCTTGCCTTAGACCATAAACATCACTGATTTGATACCTGGGGTTTTTAAACCAAACAGGGACCTGGTGGAAAATGCTCCTGCCTTACAGCGATAAGGTTCCTGGTTCGAGATCCACCGGTCCCATCTGACAGGAGTTTGTTGTCCTGACTGAACTTTTCACCCATTTAAACTGAATTGAATTGACATCAATGATTCTGTCATTCACAGCATCAAGGACGCTTGGTTTTTATGAGGCAGTGCAAAGATCAACCTCAACCAAAAAAAAAAAAATATATATATATACTATAGGTTGAAACGTTCCTCTACACCTTGATTCTGTCAGAAACCAGAAACCAAAAGAAACATTTCAAACTGTGGTTGATGGTGAGCTGCAGTGGGCTGTCATTTCCTGTGAAAACAACTGTTTTGTTTTCGCCAAAAAAAACCCCAAAACCAAACACCTGGAGCAGACTGGTGGAGAGAGAGACACAGAGAGACACAGAGAGACACACACAGAGAGAGAGAGACAGGATGGTTTTTGTGGTGCAGCTGGCACCTGTCAATCACCACCTACTCTGTCTGCGTAGGTGTAGCTCCAGATCTTTCCATTGACCCAGGCCCGGGACACCACTCTGTCGTTCTCGTACTCCAGCCGCTCGGACCACTCCCCACGATGGATGGAGGACAACAGCCCTCCCCCGGAGTAGCTGATATTGACCTCGGTGTACTTGCTGCTGGGGGACCAGACCACAGGGCGGCCCAGCGAGTCGTACTGGATGTGGAGCGTGAACTTCCTGTGGTCATCATAGATCTTCCCGACTCTGGTGCTCTGATCGAAGTCGATGGACAGCAGGTTCCTGTTGTGTGCCTGAAGAGAAAGAGTAAAATGTCAGATTCTGCCGCTTTGTAATCGGCACAAAAGACCCCAGACGGGGCAAACGCGGCGCTGGCGAGAAAAGCAGACTTTTAAAAAAAAATTTGGTCGGATGAATTAATTGTGACATTTAGAGTGAGTCATGTCTGGATGATAGCGTTACATTTTCACCCAGGCCTAATTACTTAGTAAACATCAGATAAAAAGTTCTATTCAGATGAAATAGTTCAGTTCCTGTTGTGCAGCGTCTGGGTGTGATTTGTGGAAACTCCGTCTGAAGGCGACATGATTAATCTGTCTGATGATGTAACATGTTGACAAGGTTCAGACTGGGGCTCAGACCTGGACTCTCCACGGTTTGACTCACTGGAAACACCTGGGCGTCCAACACGTTTTTTTTTTGTTTTTTTTTAAAAACAATCCCATCATGCAGTTCGGGTCGAACCAAACAGATCAAGATGTGGTTGACGGGATGTGACGTGACCTATTGACTAGTCGATGTTCCACGATGTTTAGCATCACTACACTTTGGATTTTTTTTTTGTAGGGATGTCCGATATTAACTTTCCAATATTGTCCAAATACTTAACTTCTAATTCCGAAAAATCAACCGATACTGATATAGTGGTGATCAAGGAAGTTAAGAGCCGCCTGCTCACTAAGGTGATGCATACAATCCTCTGGTTATTAAAATAATAAAATTAGCTGTAATGCTGCCATCTAGTGGCTTTCACTTTCATATGCAGCCGTTTTTCCCCAAAACTATTTTTTAGGTCAAACCCAGGCATTGTGTTAAAAAACCAAAAAAAAGATAACGATCTTACAGAAATCACACAATCATGGTAATCTCGAGGCCGATATTTTCGGTCGGTCGATATTATCGGACATCCGATATTATCGGACATCGGGTGCACAAATGCGTTTGCTTCAGATTGCCGATGGGAAGTTCTGTTGAATGTGACTCGACTTGTGACTCGAAAAAGTGTTTTTCCACATTTTGGCCTCAGAAAAAAACAGTTAGTTTTACCCGCAGCCTGCGTTCGTAGGTGCTGTAGTTGGTCTTGCTCTGTTCCTTCCTCTGCCGCCACTCGATCAGGCTGGGGGCGTGGTCTCCAGGAAGGCTGATGTTACAGCGGCTGGCCGTGGGTACGAGTCCTGCACCGACGCCTCCGGGGAGAAGGAGCTCGGTGGTGAGCGACAGCTCCATGCCGCTCGCCAGCGACACGAGGAACGACCCATCGGCGCTGACTCTGTACGAACTCTGAGCGTGGTCTGGGGTCGAAACATTTACCACAGGGGGGGCGCACATACGCATCCATCCACACACACAGCGGGGGGGGCATCCATCCACACACACACACACACAGACAGAGGGTGCACAAAGTCACACATTTACACGAGTGCAGAAATGCAACACCAGACCAAAAAAAGTGTGAAAACAAACGTCTGTCAGGGTCGGTGATCAACAGCCCTGAGAAGGAATTCTTCAGCTGCAGTGGAGGAAGGCAGCCAATACAGCAGCGAGTCGGGGCGTTTGTACAGTGGCCTTTGTTTGGATTAAATACATAAACTCTGTGCTGAATGATATTCTAAAAAAAAAAAAAAAGAAATCCTTTTCTTCGCGGCTCTGGTGTTGTGGAGCGGCTGCCATTGTGTCTTTGTAAAAAGGAATCAATTAAAAAACACAAGAGAGGAAGAGAGAGAGAGAGAGAGAGAGAGAGAGAGAGACAGGAGGGAAGTGCAGGGTGAGGGTGAGGGTGAGTTCTTGGCCCTGAATGTTTGTTTTTTTTTTAACACGATGTAAAGGTTTCTTAGAAAATGTTTTCATTTCAATGTTTTCAGTGGGAGTTGACATTTTATACAGAATGTCGTTCGTTTTCTTACACTTTATAACTTTTATAACCGTTGGCCAAGTTGAAATATTTAAAAAAAAAAAAGTCAAAATAATCATAAAACTGCGTTTTAATCATAAAAGCTAACTGTGCTAATAAACAAAATGGAGGCTCCCGCCTCCTTCACCGCTGTAAAAACAAACCAAACCTGTGGTTATTGTTGCCTCACACAAGAAATGATGCAGTGGATCTGTGGGTGTTGGGGTGAAGGGAGAAAAAACCTCCCCCCCCGGAGCCGCTGCTGCCCCCCCCCCACGCACCCTCATCTCTTGTTGTTAAGACATTTCTGAACTGTCCGTCCCATCTGTGCATACATACAGTATATATATATATGTATATATATGTGTGTTTACAGTATTTATAAATATATATTTATATTTATTAAAGTGTCCAGTATTTTGCAGAGAGCAGATCAGATCTATATGTGAATAATTTATCAAAAAAAACAAAACAAAAAATACCCCAGGATGATCTGCTGACTGAGCTCCATGTCATATTTCACCTGCAGCAGACGAAGGCCACGACCCAGAGTGTGAGCACCACTGAGGTTTGTCTGTCAGGGATGTTTAAACTTCACTCCACGCCCACATTCTGCCTCTTTGGGGGTTTATTTTTTTTCCATTACGTTA